TAATGACCTTTAGTATCAAAAATTTTATTTAAAATTGAGCACATTTCAATTGTCCTAACAAATGCACCGGCTTCAACTAAGCTTTAGTCTTTGAGATAGACAATACTAAATTTATTTGGTCAATCTTTGACCATTTTGTCATGTTTTATCTAGCAAGATTTGCAAGATGCTCATTTTGACTTGAAAACATTCAAGTTTTTTTTTTTTTTTTTTTCTGATCTATGTATTCCCATGCCAATTCACCTGTACAAGAAATATTCAATTTTGCAACTCAGATTCATGATTGTACATTTTTCTGCATGTTTTTTAGGCTATCCAGTTATGAAAGAATAATGCCATTATCAATCAAGAAAAGAAGTATTTATGACCTCATCTCATAATAATTTGTAGTAATGACATAAAACAAAAAATGGTGTAGATTTTGCATTCAATATCGCTTACTTTGTTGCTTGGAATTTCTTATGTAAATCTGAGAATTATTTGAAAGAAGGTCTATTTTGTTTGAGAAATTCTGATGCAAAAATTATGTATGATGTCATGGTTACATTTGATTTATTCATTGCTGAATCCTGGTATAAGTACGGAGTATTGTACACAGGCCATTGTTTGCGGGTAGTTTTCTCAGTATTATTCATATCTTGCTGGAGCAAACAAGGCATGACGAGATGCGGGTTGTCGGCTGCCAAGCTCTATTTGACTTTATAAATAACCAGGTGCCTTTTTTTATTGTTGCTCTAATAATGTGAACACTTAAAAGGATGCAATTAGCTTATGTGGTATCATTTGATGGTGCAGAAGGATGGTACCTATATGTTCAATCTAGAAGGATTGATCCCAAAACTGTGTCTTCTAGCTCAAGAGATGGGAGAGGACGAAAGGGTCCTGCACCTTCGTTGTGCTGGCCTGCAAACACTGTCATCTACAGTAAGCTGCCTCTAACATCTCTGATGTTCAGCAAAATGCAAGTACCAATGAAACACTTTTACTAGGAAGAGTGGGTACTAATGTCTCAAAATATCCTTAACAACCCCACTCCTCAAGGTGTGCTTAATTGACATTACTTCATTTTAAAGCAGTGTTTTAAAAGGCTAAATTGGGTGTCGAGGCATTTCACCTTGAGGAGCTATAGAAACAATGTTTTAAAGCTTAAAACATCACCATTAAGATAAATGGGCCAGAAATTTGTATTTTTTTTTTCAGTCAATCATAGAAACCAGACATTAACAGCTTGTTTAAAGCCGGCTCTTTTTTGTGGGTGGAATTACAAATTGTTTATATGCTTTTATGCTATTCTAAATATTACCTTTTAATTGATTAGATAGTAGCTTTCAGATTTCTAATATGAAAATGAGGAGGTATCCTCACAGATCTTATTCCCAAAATTCATTTGGTCAATATCTTGTCAGTGAAGAATTTTATCAGTTACCTTCTTTTTATAATTTAAGTTTTCACATATTTATGTGTGACAAAATGTAACTTCTCAACAAATAAATGAAATTAATTTTTAGCTTTTATATTGCTTTTTGAGCTTTATTGGGGACAGTTGTCACTTGATGGTACATCATTTATTTATTTGGTCCGTATGTTGAAGTAATAAGCTTTGCCATACCTTCACTAGTTTCAAATTTCATTGTGTCACTTAGAATGTTCTTGAAATTAGCAGTTCAAGAATGGCGTGCATGAAGAATAGTTGACAACTTTTCTGAAAACAAATTTTCTTGTTATTTATTTTCTCATTGGGATTTTCCATGCAAACTGAAATTGGATTTATATAATATGGACTCTGAGACTTGTCCTAAAAATTTTGATGGACAGATATGGTTCATGGGTGAATTTTTTCACATCTCAGCGGACTTCGACAATGTAAGTTACTTCAGGGTCATTTGTATGTTCACGATTACATAAACTGAGGCAAGTCCTTGAAATATTTAAACATCTAGATTTTTTCATCCGTCATGCAATGGATTCTTTCTTATGAGCATATATACAATTAGTAATTCACGTGAAGACAATTGTGTCAAAAGGAACTTGTAGGAGTTCCTTGGTAGCAGACCTCTTTTCTTTTAAATGTTATGGTTGGCTATGATCTTATACATTTAACAGTTATTACCGGTTCCTTTTGGCTTCACATTACTCAGTGGAAAGAGCAAATTAAGATAACTTTTGAGGCTTCACATATTTATTTTCAAGCTTGACGCTACTTTACTTTTATTCTTGATGTTTTAGATTCTTCTAAGAATCTTGGCTTTTATGAATTCATGGTGAATATTTTGAATGATAGTAGGCAGTCTCAAATGAATACATGCTGGTCATGAAAGTATACATACATACAGCTTCGATGACAGCATTGCTTCTTCTTTTCCTATTATTTCTGCTCTCTTTTTGTTCATTTTTCCTTGTCCTCTATCATTCCCTCTGCAGCTGAAGAAATTAAAAAGATTTAGAGGCTTAACTGGATCTCGTCTTTCTTTATCTTTTGTTCTTTTTGTTGACATGTGTCCGCCTTTCTCCTTTCCTTTGTGTTTCTGTTGATGAAAAATGACAAAAGACAAGCTTCCCTCGGGAGACTTCTGACTGCTTCTTCATTGCCTCTTATTTCTCTCTCCCCTTCTAGCTGGCATGTATACTTAAAGTCTACATGCATTCTCCCCTTTTAATGAATTTCTTGTATCATCAAGAAAACTCTGCTAAAATGCCAAGTCACTAATATAAATTCTTTTATAAGGATATCTCCTCAGCAATTTTTAGCTACTATTGAAGATGTCATGTTTGTTACCGTGTTAAGTAATCACCTTTTCTTATTTTTACAAAAATCAGGTTGTTTCTGCAGTCCTGGAAAATTGTCACTGCCCAGATATGGAGTCCGATTATCTTACTAATGGTAAGCAAGAAGAGGTGCAAAGAGTTGAAAATCAAAATTCTCCACCTGATGCCGTGAATAGGGCTATTTCTTGGAGAAAGATTGTAAATGAGAGAGACTATGTTACAATGTAATTCCTCTTCCCAAGATGGTCACATCTGGAGTCATGTTTATGTTCTGTGCTGTGGATTTGGTATATCTAACATGGATTCTGTTCTGGTAAACAGGGAAGATACAGGAAGTCCCAGATTCTGGGCAAGAGTATGCTTGAATAACATGGCAAAGTTGGCCAGGGAGGCTACAACCGTACGCCGTGTTCTTGAAGCCTTATTCCGTTACTTCGATCAGGGCAATCTCTGGTCACCTGATGAGGGGCTGGCCCTTGCTGTTTTGATGGACATGCAATCAATAATGGAGAACTCTGGTCTTCAACCTTTCAAACTTCTGCATGTTTATGAATGAACTTCTTAGGGCTTACTCTGCCTTTTTAGCATCGCCTTCCATTTCTTTAATACTCATTGAACTGTTAATTTGACTTGCAGGACATAACACTCATTTTTTGCTATCTACTGTAATCAAGCATCTTGATCATAAGAATGTCTTGAAAAGCCCCAACATGCAGGTAGATATCGTTCAAGTTGCTACCACTCTGGCTCAAGCAACAAAGGTCCAACCATCTGTGACAATTGTTGGTGCATTTAGTGATATGATGAGACATTTGCGGAAAAGCATACACTGCTCTCTTGATGACATAGAACTCGGGGAAGAACTAATTCAGTGGAACAGGAAGTTTCAAGCAGCTGTTGATGAGTGTCTTGTTCAATTGTCTTGCAAGGTTACCTTTTGACCCTTACCTTACAGTAATTACTTTTGGCAGTGTGGTAAATAATGTATAAATTATGAAAGCTTGATCAGTTGTCAATATGTTAAAGATAATATTATCAGTGATAATAAAATGAGATATAGCTATGTTCGTATAAGAAAGACCCCCACCTCAATGCAAGGCCAACAAAGAAATTCCTATATATTATATGAAATGAGTAAATCTAAAAGTGAATTCCTCTTCAAGTCAGGTTGGAGATGCTGGCCCCATTCTTGACGTAATGTCTGTGATGTTAGAGAGCATTTCAAATATAACAGTTATGGCTAGAAACACAATTACTGCTGTCTATCGCGTTGCTCAGATTGTGGCATTCTTGCCAAATATATTGTATCAAAATAAGGCAAGGCTGTTTCTATCTCATGTAGTATGCTTGACATCTATGATTGAAATTATTTAACACCGTATATTTATTTCTCTGGCTTAGGCTTTCCCTGAGGCTTTATTCCATCAATTACTGCTCGCCATGGTCTCTCCAGACCATGAGACAAGGCTTGGGGCACATCGTGTATTTTCTGTTATACTTGTTCCATCATCTGTTTGCCCTCCTAGTAGCTCTACTACCAGCTCCTCAACTAAACCTGCTGATTTTCAGAGGACGCTGTCTAGAACTGTTTCTGTGTTTTCTTCTTCTGCTGCTCTATTTGAGAAGATGAGGAAAGAACAACAGTACTCCCAAAAATTTTCAGATCAAACAGATGTAGTTTTAAATAATGGCGAAGTAAAGCTCAACAGTCCATCCATGCTGAAACGGCTGACATCCAGTTATAGTCAAAATACTAGCATGAGGAGATGTTCAATGCCCGTAACCATGGGTAATTTAGAGAAGGAACCGGTACTTGAACCTTAGATACTTCGAGTATTTCTTTTAAAACCATACTGAAATGCTATATGGTTGCTATACTTCCTGACAATAGCCACTTACAATGCAGAAGGGGATCTCTCTTAAGTTGAAAAGCCGACAGATCAGCCTCTTGTTGTCTTCCATCTGGGTGCAGGCAGTCTCTCATTTGAACACTCCTGGGAACTATGAAGCACTTGCCAACACATACAGCTTGGTCATACTATTTTCAAGAAACAAGGTAATTTTCTCACCCCAGATATTACTATGCATTGCAAGTGCACTTTCCATTCTGTAATGACCACTGTATGTTATCCTACTCATACTCTAAGACTCCTGAAATATTATCAACTCGCGTTCTTCTATCTTTCAGTGTGTTTCTGATCATAACACCTCGAACAATCTCTGTTAGATTACAATTACCACCTCATGTTCTCATCCACAAAAACTATGTCATCAACGAACATACACCTAGGAAACCTAATTGTTGATGTGTCTCTAAGCTCATTCATGCATAAAGCCAAAAAAAAAGGACTTAAGGAAGAACCTTATGAAGCAGCCTACAAGGAAATATATTCTCCACTGCTACCAGTACTGTATTTTACATTCGTCATTGCTCTATCTTACACATAGTCAATAATATTGATATATCTAACAAAAATATTTCTCTCTAACACTCAGTATATTACTTTCCATGGATAACAGACCGTAAGCTTTCTTGGAATCAATCAAATTCATTTGAAAATCTTGTTTCTTTTCTTTCTACTTTTCCATCAATATCCTAAGCAGGTAAATGACCTTGAAAGTAGATCTTCTTAGCATAAAATCGAACCCCTTCCCTGAGATCTTAGAACTAAACCTTAATCTATGCACTACCAATCTCTCAAATAATTTTATTGTACGGCTTGTGATCTTAATACCTTGTTATTTGTACGAAATTTCCTTTATTCTTATGAATAGGCATCATGACACTTCTCTCCTTTCACCTGTCATCCATTAAATCTTTAATATCTCGATTCTCATAGGATGATCGTGTCTAACATAAAATACTGGCATCATTTAGACACTTGTACACTTTGGTACGAGTTCTATCAGGACTACTTACTCTTTTCATTTCCATCCTGTTCATATCCTTTCACTTTTAAGGCCACGTATTCTTCTCATATATTTAGCATTCCTATCCTTGATGTAGTTTGTCAAATCTCCAGTATCCACATTATTCCTTTCACTAAATATTTTGTCAAAATAATTTCTCCATCTTTCTGTGAACCATCGATAAACAAACTCTTTGGTTTTTCATCTTTAATGCACTTAACTTGGTTTAATGTCTTCTTCCCTTCTTCGTTTTGATGAAATATCTTTCTTTGTATTCGTGGTCCTATGACAATTGACAAGTTCTCTTCCAGCCATGATCTGGGATCATCCTATTGACTTCCCGGTTAGCTAATACGTCTAAGGGTTCTCCACATTTAAGTTAACTGAAAAAATGTAGTTTTCTCTTATTGCATTGTCAAAGACATCTAATGTCTCTGAAATGAGGAAACGCGAAGGTTTTGCTAAAGAAATGCTGTTGAGAAAGGGCGGATAGATGCTAAAGAAAGAAAATAAAAATAAGTATGCACTTATATTAGTGCACCCGTTGTGGAAGCAAGACAGTATGACACACACATGTGTTCTACTTTTAGAGAACTTTAAAGAGTTTCAGTTTCTTTCTTTCTTTTTATTTTTCCTGTTACACAGTTTGATATGTATTTTCCAGCAGTCATATAGTATGCACAGTGGCAGAGCTAGAAAATTTACAATAGGCGAAAAAATTTTAAAGTATAGATGTACTATGTACATAAAAAAATAAAAAATTCTACATAGATTTTACAAAAATTAGGGGGGGGGGCGGGGGGACCCCCCCCCCCCCCCCCCCCACAATTTTTTGACAA